ATATCAAGCCATTTAAAGAAAAGACGGTTCATGCAAAAGAGCCAAGGAAAAATCCATTTGAATCACGTTAATCATTTTAATTTTTATATTGCATAACAGATCAGACTGATGAAAGCGCCTTTTTAACCTAAGTATTTGTGTTACAAACAATCCCTCCTGCAGGTTAATGTGTGCCTCACTCTGCTTATCTGATATCTAATGTGTTGGAGTCAATATAGAGGTTTTACTTAAATGCTCATTTGTACCACTATTATCATTAGGCTATTATTATGGTTCTTTTTTTTTCAGATCTAATCCGGCCAATTTAATTCAGGTATTGATTATTCACATTGTGATGTGTGTTATGCCAGGTCTCATGGTAATAATTGATTTTATCGATTGGGTAGGGGTGGGAGAGAAATAAAAAAGGAGTTGACAACAAGAAAAAGGAAGAGAAAAACAGAACAGTGTCATATGTTGTAAAGGTATATTCAAATTTGATTTAGATGACTGTTTCAATGTCAAGAGGCTGCTTTCGATTTATATATATATTTTAAAATGCATTCATTAGTTTTTGTTAAATATTTATATTAATCGAAAAATATATTTTTAGATATTAATGAGATTTTTTTTCATCTGTACCATTATTGTAGTCTCTGCTGTAATTCAACATACATGCAGCAGACAAAATATGTTCAAAGAAATAGGCTATTATTTACAAACACATCTTAGCACTTCCTGTTTTTTTTTTTTAATAATAAACGTGCAGTTTTATAGCGATAAAATATGGTTTAAAATTCTGAGCCGCTTTCAGCCATGTGTTCTAAAGAAAGCTAGAATTAAAAAAAAAATGAAATACCAATGATCGTCATTGTTATTGTTATAAAAGTATTGTACAGATGTTAACAATTTAACAGTTGAGTTTTGGAGTTTAACTTCACACCTGCACCTGCACAAAAAGTTTTCTTTCATTTTCAAATCTTCACAGGAAGCTTTGAAACCTTTTTTTTTTTTTTTTTTTTAACAAAAACTAAAATAAAATACCACACACCAAACCCCAAAGGCTGCCAACACAGGCTGTAAAATTAATAAACTTTAGAGACACTGCAAGCAACAAGATTTCTTACGGTTGAGGAAATTACTATTTTATTAGTTCTAGCAAGAAGAAATCACAATTAAAGTTTTTTTTTTTTAGAATCAGCATCTGGACAAGAAAGATGTGCGTGTGTTTTGCGCACTAATAGGTCGAGGAAATTAAAAAGAAATGTCGACAGTCTGTTGTGTTTCACTATTGCCCTCAGTGTTCCCTGTAATGTTCTGCGTTAGGAAGAAAACTGACATAGGCTGCCTAACATATAATCAAGGAAATGTAAGTAAAATGAATTTAGTTTAGGTCACATTCAGAATGGATGTAAAGGCAGATCATTTGTCTTGTTCGGCATGCTACATAGTTATAGTAGTACTCTTTAAAGCAACAACAATTAGAGGCCACAAACAGGTTCACGATAATGACAGTAACACTAATAAAAAGTTAAACTGCAGTAGTATCGAATATGAAAACCATTAATGGCGGACTCACCCTGGAAGCATTTCAGCTACATTATATGTAGGCATATCCAAAGATACATGCAAGTTTGTTATCAGTGTGTGTATTTATTTATTAAGTTATGTTTTTATCACAAAAAGTGTTGAATAAGATGAAAACACGATGTTTTATCAGCGTCAGCTTTTGTTTCCTTTTCAAAATAAGACATGAAAATATTGACTGTCTAAAATGTACTGTACTATTAAATGTATTATTACATATGACAATAAATAACGTGGGAAATGAACGTGTGTGTTGTGTGTATTATGCACTGTATTAAATGTATTTATGTGGCTACTGAACTGTTTACACACACACACACACACACACACACTGCAGAGCCAGAGTGAACATGCATGATAGTTTCAGATGTCATGTTTACCAGTCATTACAGTGTGTGTGTGTGTGTGTGTGTGTGTGTGTGTGTGTGTGTGTAAATAATGCATGGGAAATCTAGATCTAAACTGCAACAGCATCATCATCAGGCCTTATGACAACATGACGATTGTTGTTATATTTTTGGAAATTATTAAAATAATTCTCTGATCTCGGGAAAAGTCCTTATAGCTGGACGAAAACACACACCGGAAGTAATCAGAAATAAGAAGCTACTTTTGCTCTTTTAATCCTTCAGATAAGATTATTCTTCCCTGATGGAGGCTGCATTATCCCGTCATTTAGATTAGTTGTTTTTTTCTTTTTCGCTGCCGCAAACAGGAAGTCAATATCTCATTCAAAACTGCAACTCCGCGCGTGCGCTCCATCTATTATCATTTACCAATAAGTGATCACTTTTCCTCGGTGATTAAACAGATGATTTGGGGGGCGTAAAGTGGTGCAAAGTACAGGATGAATAATGTAACTACTGTATTTTTCTCTTCCATCCTGTTGCTGTTGCTGCTCGGGGATTTTGAAGGCCTTGGGACCAGCATGCACATCAGGGCTGCAGAAAACACCACTCTTCTGCTTATGTTTAAATTTTTTAAAACAATAAAATGCGAATTTTGAGGAGTCACTCTACTTTCCCAGGTTGGTATCTGCTCGGGCAGGAGCCATTTCTCTTTCCCATTCTTGTTTCACTGCAACACCAGAAAATAAACCTTTTCTACCTCCCTTTGGCTGATTCTCTTTATTTTCCAGCACATGAATGGTCACTTTCAGGTCACCGCAATGTCCCCTGACCCTTGACCTCGTTTCTATTGGCTGCTTGTAATATTGGCGATGCAGGATTTGATGCAGCCATACATGTCCCTCAGGATGAAGGCATCCGCTAAATGGTTAAAATCTAAACGCTCAATATTGGCTTTAGATTAAAAGCTTATTCTACACCCACCATGTTGAAAGTCACTTTGGATGAGAGCTGCTGGTAAATGGCTAAAGTGTGAGTATTCCTCGGTATATTTATGGCCTGTACTGGTAATGGAGGGCATGAAGCTTCTGTTTTTGCTCTCACTGTAAGTCCCTCTGAGAGCATCAGCTATATGGCTGAAATGTAAATGTGTTGGCTGAAATGATGCTGATCCTGCTGCTGCTCTCACTGCGAGGAGAGTGACTGTGGATGAGAGCACAAGCTAAAGGCTTGAAATAGAAATTGCCTTGCTATGGTGATCTAAGATTTGGAGCTTATTGTGCTGTTAAACGGATGGAAAGGAAATATATTTCTCATCATAACTCCTCCTTACGCAGAAACAGGTTTTTAGATTACAAGTGACTCTGTGGCTGAGTACAAAGCCCATGTTGACAAGCCCAGACCCTGAACACCCCGCCGGGTGTCAGTTTCTGTCCAGGCCCGCAGTGTATGAAGTTGGGGGGCCTTGAAGCTCGGGTGTCAACCTTCCATCTCGGATTTTCCAGCCACAGAAGGTGAACTTTCACCCCGACCTCCAAAACGACCTTTTATTTTCGCTCTGTAGCCGTTGACCATTTTACCTCCAGCTACTCGCCATCCATACACGCATCCCTCCGTGCTGACTGTGCGCGGGGCGGATCGATAGGGCAGCATCTGCTCCGGGAAGCCGGCGGTCCCACACCGCGCACCGCTCCGCTGTTTCCAAACGCCAGAACTGCTCATCTCTGAAAATTAAACTGACAGACAGATATGATTAGTATGCGCTCGGCCTCCCTGCTTCTGTCTGTCTGTGTGTTTTTCTCTGAGGCCGGCGCGCGCGCAAACATGCACGCACAGGCCTGACCATGCAGACTAGATGTATATTTATGCTTCTTATACAGGCACCAGTGCACATAAACTGTCACCAATCTCGCGTGAACGCATCGCATATAAAGGCATGCACGCACACAAGCAAAAGAGCAAATAAGTAGGCCACTTGGCACACACACATGCGCGCTCTCATACACGGCATGATTACAAAGTCACACGCACTCAGCACGCACACAAATTCGACACTAATTACATGTTGCAAGCTAAATTTACAAATAGCCCAATTACGTTCAATGGACACTCCTGCACATGCGCGCAGACACGCACGCGCTCCCAACAGGCCGGGCCTGCAGTGTTACTGCTCGGTGCTGCAGCAGCAGGTCGAGGGTCTGTTAGGGGGGGAAAAGGGTCGCATTGATCTTGTTGAGGGACTTTTCAAACTGAAGTGTTGGCGGTGTGACTGAATGGAGCCGCAAGCTGAGTGCTGATTAAGAGCTGGTCTAAACACAAGCGTCACTTGACAGCATTTATTCCTGAAAGGTGAACAAGAGGTGTCATAAAAATAAAAGAAATACAAAATAATCCTTCTGGAATGTTTGGTACTAAAAATGGAAAAATTACAGGGTGTGGCCTGGTGTGAAGATGGCGCAAAGCAGACAATAAATTGATACACTTTTTTTCCGGAATTAGTGAGACGACTTATATAATTGCATCATATTCAGCCTTAATTTGTTTTTTAATCATTTTAGGGCCTTCTAATCTAGTCCTGCACTGACATCACAAATGAGAAATAAGTAAATAAGTTATTTTAAAATTCTGATAATAAAAAATCCTTATAATAGAAGAAAACCCTGAAATGCTTGTGTGTTATTTAGCTTTATCCCATTCCATCTGCATGTTACAGATGTTTTTTATTTTTATTTTTTTTTTTTTTTACAGTGACAATAGCAGCAACAGCATCACTTGTTACAAAGAACTAAACGACATTAGCTGCAGCCTTTAAAAATCCATTGATCTGATACAACAGCGCGGCAGAATGACCAGGATCTGTGCACATAATTCATAAGTTGTGCATGCAATCAGCTGAAGAAGACTTAACCTGTGGGGTTATGAGAAAGAGACCATCTCCACCTCCACACCTCCCCCGCCCAGTCACCCCCACCTCTACTCCTCCTCCCCCCGGAGAGAAAGGGTTAATTGGAGTAGGAATTTCATCGCACATCTGTCAGATTTTTAAGGCCGTGACGCACTGAAAGCAGAGTCAATGTGAGCAAAGGGGAGGAGGAGGAGGAGGAGAAGGAGAAAGAGTTGGTGGTGAGATCGATGAAGTGGCAGGCAGAGGGAGGAGGAAAATCTCACGAGATAATGAAAGAAAAAGAGGAGAGCTGCTAGTGTAGAGCAAAGAAACGAGGCTAGACCCGGAGATTTTTTTTGGAGTGGAAAGCAAAGACTAAGAAACGGAAAACGAGAGAGATTGGTCTGTAAACCGCAGATGGTTTTTGCACTCTGGTGTTGGTGAATATAGCACCCCGGGGCGCAGCGGACCAATTGTGTGAATCTGCAGGGCTGCTCGGCGACACAATCGAAACATGCACAGGACGGACAACAGCCGCGGACGCGCTCTGAGAAGTGGATAATAAAGGTAGGGTTTTTGAGCTCTAATAGCCTATAAATGTCGACGTGTTTGTCTCTGAATCGCCATAATGTCCGGTAGTTAGTTAACGCATCGTTCAGATTCATTACACGTGATGTAAATATGCAAACGCACCGGTAATGTTCAGCGCTTCGCATGCGCGCTACTGCTGTATTTATAACTTTGTATTAGGAAAGAACTCCAAATATTGAAGTGATTAAAACACCGATGTGTTTGCTAATGTGTTCCGCTGCATGTGTGAGGTTCAATTACTCAAATGCTTCTATTATTGTTTTTGTTTGGGATGTATTAGTGTAAATTGGTGTTTAAGCGAGGAGACAAACGTTATTCGGCTGTTTCCTTCTCTGTAACGATGAAAGTTTAAATACAGCGTTGTAACAGCGCCCGTCTTGTCTCACGCAGGCACAAAAGCAAGGCTTCTGCCGAGGAACACAGCTGAGTACCAAAGAGACAAGAGAGCAGAGTGCTGATGCACAAGTGAGAATAAAACCACACTTTAAGCTCCTGATGCTTTTGCAAACTCGTTTTCTGGGAGTTTGAGGGAGTTTGAAGACAGTACTTAACGTTATCAGATAATTAATTAGACACCCCATAAGCCCGGAAATCAATTAATTCACAAATCAATAAATCCATAGTCTGGTGCAACAAGAGACCTTCCAGACTGTTAGCCTGGCTGTTGAACAACAATAACAAGAGAAGAGCAACAACACACAGGGGCAAGAAATACAAATTTATTTGCTGAAATTAAAGATGGATGGGAGTCTAGGGGAAATGTCCCTCCACAGCCACCCTGATCTGGCTCACAGCCAGGACGGCAGGGCCATGCTGCACTCCCGGGACCTTTCAGCTGCTTTCCCCAGGCCTTCCCTTGGGGGCCCCTCCATGTCTCTTGAGCCCGAGCCCCGTCCACCGGGCTTCGACCACTCCATGTCTGCACTGGGCTACAGTGGTGACTCCCCATCCAGCTCCGGCAGCACCTACACCACCCTGACTCCCCTGCAGCCCTTTGACGACAAGTTCCATCACCACCACCATCACCACCCCTGCCTCCCTGTCAGCAATGTCATCGGCAGCTTCACCCTCATGCGTGAGGACCGGGCACACCTCAGCACCAACTTCTACAACCCCTATGGCAAGGACCTCGCCATGTCCCAAAGCCTGTCGCCACCCTCCACGGGTTCTGGCCTGGGCTCCTCCATGCACGGCTATGGGAGCTTGGGCAACAGCCCCAATGGCAATGGTGGTCAGATGCTCCACGGTGGCTACGATGTCCATGGGGGGAGCCTCTTCTGCCGGACATCAGATTTTGGCCGTGAGATGTCACCACCAGGCCTAGGAGGAGGGGATGTGTCGGTGGGGCATCAGCTGAACAAAATGGAGGCTCACCAGCACGCCCCCAGCCATCACCATCACATCTACAGCCAGCACTACCAGCCCCACCATCACCCGAGCCAGCAGGCCTCCAAGATGGGCGAGCACCTGCACTCCTCATCGTCCGCCTCATCCTCGCCCGGTGAGGGCATGCTGCCAGGCAGCGGAGGCGGCGCCGGGGAGGAGATCAACACCAGGGATGTGGCCCAGAGGATCATCACAGAGCTGAAGAGGTACAGCATCCCCCAGGCCATCTTCGCTGAGAGGGTTCTGTGTAGGTCACAGGGCACGCTGTCTGACCTTCTGAGGAACCCCAAGCCCTGGGGCAAGCTCAAGTCTGGCCGCGAGACCTTTAAGAGGATGTCCCGCTGGCTCCAGGAGCCAGAGTTTCAAAGAATGGCCTCGCTCCGGCTGGAGGGTAAGATCTGGTTTTGCTCTCTATCTGCTTCACACACACTCACGTACACACTCACTTTAGTACAGAAATCACAACAACAAACAGACGCACTCTCTCCCCTTGTTTTCCCCAAACACATTCCTTCTCCATGTCTTCCAAAAAATTCTCCTCTCCAGCAATCAGTATGCAGCTCAGGTTGAGACATGAGGAAAAGCTAAAGCATCATACTGATGTTTCCCTTCTTCACACCACTGTGAATATACCAGTGGTTCGGCTATTGTCTCAACAGCCTGGATAATAAGAATTTAGCAGCACATTGAGGACAATTTGAGCAAGAAAGGGCCATATGTGCCGTTCCTTTGTTTACTTTGCTCCCAAACAGCCCCTATTGATTTGTACAGTAGCTACAATAAAAAAAACCACAGACATTTGCCCTCCTCTTAAATGAACCATGAAGATCAGCGTGAGCAGCAGTTGGCAATTTAATCGCTTTTGAGCCCACAAAATAATTTGTGCAGATATGCCATTCTGGAGCGATTGATTAATTCGAGCAGTGATTTATATCTGCTCAGCGTGCGGCTGAAGTTGAGTTGGCAAGGTAGCTGATGCAAATTAGACTTGAGCTTTTGCCAGACGTCTTTTATCAACGTCGTCACTGAGGCAATTACTTCGAGGCTAAATACAAATGTTGTTCTGCTCTGAGGCAGCACCTTGCAGGTTTGTGAGATTCTTCAAATCAGGAAAACAGGAAGTGCGTGTCATCTTTAGTGCTGAATTGATTAGTTGACCGCCAAAAAATAAATTGACATCTATTTTGATGATGAAATAATTCACGTAGCAAGCAAAACTGCTGAATATTAGCTGGTTCCAGCTTTTTAAAATGTTTCATTTTGTGCCTTTTTGGTTTTATATAATTTTGAATTCAATAAATTTTTTTGGGGGGGGTGGACTGTTGTTCAGGCAAAACAAGCAATTTGAAGATGTCACTATGAGAGAATTTATGATTTTCTGACATTTTATAAACTTTACTTTTATGATTATTTGGAAACATAATAAAGAAATTAATCAATAACCAAATATTAATTTGTGGCAGGCCTAGTAGTATTTATACAGATTTCAGAGGGTAAAGATTTTTTTGAAAGGCACATTGTAATCTGCTGCTTGACATTTAATATTCTTTGGGGATGTGGATTGAAGACACGACAGCACGCTGTACAGTGCCGTGTTACAGTGTTGTCCCTCCACAGGGACCGAAGGCCCATCTGATACACGGAGCACAGAAAAAGATCCAAGTGAACACAGTAATATGAGATGAGCATAGACGAGTGTGTGTGTGTGGATCTGCAAGTGGTCTGCTCACTGCGGGGGTCTGTGAGCAGTACGTGTGTGTGAGCCTGCCCAGTTGATCACTGCTTTACGCTCTCTGTCAGCAGCTCGACTGATTAAGCCCAACAACACAATAGGGTTCATAGGTAATGATTGTGCACTCTTGCAATCCCTTCACAATTATTGATCTTTGATTGTTCGGCTCTGAGAGCACATGTGTACATCCTCCATTCAGTAAAACGCTACAGCAATCACACCCAAACCTCCTATCTAAAGATGAGTTATCTCTGGGTTTGTTCTGTAATTTGACAGAAATGTTGTTTGATGAATCTAATCAAACAACGTGTGAATGCTTTGTATGCAAAACATGTCTTCCTATCATGTGAAAACCTAATCTTCCTCATGATGAAACAGCCCTTTGTTCTTTTGAGCAGATTTCTAATCATCAATCATTCCTTTCTTTATTTCCAGCATCCTTGTTTCTTCATCTTTACAAACACAAACATTATTTTAACGAGTCAGTGCTCCATGTCCGAGCAGCCGATCAATCAGACTCATAAAAAATTTAAGTCCCTACACAGAGAAGTGTGCTAATGTCTGACAATGCTCCTCTCTCTCTCTGCTCCCACACACTCTGAAATTGCATATTTAGTTCTTGGCAAAGCCACAATTTGGACAGCTCGGCACTTTTCTACATAACCTACTTTCCGAAGGGGGTTGTTGTTTTTTCCCCCCTTGGCCAACCCCCTTTTGTTTAATTACAAGTCTCTATTGATTTCCATGGGAAAGAGCAGCACGCCTTGCCCACACACACCTCGGCCGCATCGGCGAATCGAGACTAGAATTAGAATGCGCGGTGCCCTGTGCTCCCTAGTCTGAAGATAGCTCAAGTGCTCTCTGCTTCACGCCTCAAGTTTTAGGATGATCCTCCTTAATGCAGCACTCGCTTAAATACATAGAAGGCCCTTCAGTTTCAGCCCTCAGCACTGTGTTATTTCCATAACTGTCTCCTATATATGGAGGGCTGCAGAGGATGGATGCACAGTAATTATGGAATGTAGTCGCTGCCATTTTGTCTTTTCAAATAATTATCTTTCTGCAGAGACATTTTGCAAAACACGGAGGAGGTGATCCCTAGGATTTATCCGCAGTATCTTGTGTTTTGTGTTTTTGTGCGTGTGTATACTCTATGGATTACCGCACTGTATATGAGATGCATCTCTAGCCCAACCTCAGGCTGTGGAGGAGGCAATCAGGATTTAGTCGGAGAAGAAGGCAGGATAAAGACCACACAGCCATGCTCCGACACTTAAAGTCAAGGAGGGGGGGATCAGAGACTATAACTTTAAAGATGATGGCCGAAGCCCTTGACTAAAGGTCTAAATGAATAAGAAAGGTCAATGCGGTTTACGTGTCGGCTCCAGTGCCTGCACCACCCCCCACAGTAATGAAAGCCACAAAGCCTCGTCCACCTCTCCCTGCGTACAGTTCACATTCTACTAGCGAGGCTCAAAGGTCAAAGCCGATACCATTTGCATATCAGGAATTGTAAACATGCCGACGTGGACTTAGCTGCGTAACACCTAACAAACAGGGTTGTTGTTTTTTGTCTTGTTTTTTTATCTGGCTCTTGCAGCTCCCCCAACTCTGGCACTGAAGGGGTTAACCAGCCTCTGTGGGTCGAGGAGTCTGAGCTGCACAGATTTAATCAATAATTTCTATCAGCCCCTGGCCCAAGAAATCAGCAGGGGGTGGGCTGGGGGGTGTGAGGGGTTGGGGGTGTGTTCTGGCTGGGAGGGGGGGGTGTAGGTTGAGACGCCGGGGGGTAGGGAAAGGGCTTTCGATCACGTTTCAGCAACACGAGACAGGGGCATACATCATGATTAGGGGCTGTTCCCACGATCATAAGAAGCCTATAGGGGAATATTTATGTCTCCAGGAGTAGCAACAGCGCCGGGGATTTATAGCATGGTAATTGTGAGCCTTTTACACATGATTACAGCATAAGGAAGCATTTACTTAATGGTCGGCGTTATGATCATCAGTGAGGGAGAGAGCCGAGGATGGGATGGAAGCTGGGAGGAGGAGGAAAGCGGCAGGACACCCGGACTCCTCCAACAAGCCATAAATCCACACTACAAGCAAGCTAGCCAGCACTATCATGTCATTCCTTTCATTACTACATGAGCTGAGAGTGCACCACTGTATATACCTTCTATAGATGCAGCCTACCTCCCAACACCCAGCCCAGAAATATTGATGGTGGGGATGGTGTAACGCCTGTGAAAAATGTAGCATTTGGAAAGAAAAAAATAATTTCACTTGTAGTGATATTGACATTCTGCTGACATCTTGGCCCGTTCGGATTTTAATGAGACGTGGTTCAATAACTCTCAGAAATGCAAACGAGCTCTGGATGCCTAATAGCTAACAGGCACCTGTAATCTCAAGTTGACAAGAGTGCTTCCCCGAGTCAAAACATTTCCTTCTGATAATGATTTTAGAGGAGAGTGTATGCGGGAAATCACGGTGAGATTTATTCATGTCCAGTTGAGTACTTAAGGTTCAGAAACTCAGCTGGACGTCGGAGAAGTCAAAGTCAGGCGGTGCCATGCACGCACACTGATGCTGCTGTTGTGATGGCACTCATGCGGAAAAGACACCAGTCGGGTCACACTTATTTCTCAAGTGCTCTGCTAATGAGAGAAATTTGCCGCTGTGAGCTTTAGGAGTGAAAAGCCGGTCATACAGTAAACATCAGCAGCAGCCCTCGCTGTGTGAGATGTTTCTCAATGGGAAGCTGCATGCCAATCAATTGAGGAAAAGGCAGCACCTGTGATTTATAAAATGTGTTTGTAGCATGTGTGAGTTTGATTGTGTCTCTGTGAGCTACATATGTGAGAAATATGGGATTTCAAGGTTATATCTCCATCCAATCATGTAATTTTTGTCAATAATACACTTCCATAAACCTTGTTTTCTTAAAACAAGAAGAAACCTGCCAGTGCAGCAAGATCATTTCAAACAGTTTCTACTAGAGTGTTTCAAAATCAAGTGTTAGTTTCCGTGCTTCTAATTCTGGGTTCTGCTTTCTCCTGCCTTATTTTAAAATACAGACATTAAATGATAAAAGTTCATTTGAGTAGGAGACTGATTGAAATAATCCTGGGACTCTTTTTATACACAAAAATGAAATGTACAGGGATTCAGTGTTACTCCCACATTTTTATTCTTCTGACGGTGTGAAAGCTTCTGAAACAGCATGTCATTATAAGTCCTAATGTAACTCTATACTAAATGAAAGAGTAGTTTGAATATTGAAAACATTATGGCACAATCATAGAAAAGGAAAATACACTTTTGTTTCCAGACTCCAGACCTCCAGGCCAGTATTCAATAAAAGTCCAGCATCGGCACCAATCCACTGGCCGTCCCTTAGTGTGTGTGAGTTTATTTGTGTTGTGTGCACATGCACCAATGCTTACACTTAGAAACGCATTTGATACCATCAGCAAAACAGTCGCTCAGCCGCACAGTGCTGATTGAAACCTCTTAAAAGTGTGCATTTAGGTAATTGCACGACTCCCCCAAATATGTTTTAGTCCACTTAAGGCTTCTAAACACCCTGGGCATTGCCGACTCTGCTTGTTTCACTCACCCCTGACGTAACCCGCCTTTAATAGAAAATAAATTAGTTCCCCCTAAAGTGATTATTACTCACTCACCGCCGCCACATGTAAATGACTTTTATGAGAAACTAATGATGTTGAAGTGTCCACTAAGGGAAAGGGAAGGGAGGTGGAAGGAGATGGACAGAGAAAGAGAGGGGGGGGGGGGGGGGGGCAAGGGGACGGGATGTTGGCTCGGTACACAAAGGCAGAGGTTGGTGTTGTGTTTCCTGTAAATACAGAATTACAGCGTGTTAGAGGTGAAAGGTTCAGCGATGGATATGCAGAGGAACATGCAGCCTGAATTCAAAATGCTCGTCTGATTCTCAAAATGGATCTGAGCTCAACCCACACACATCAGGCTATTTTTCTTCCTCACGGAACAAAACTGCCTTTTTTCATTTTTTTTTTTTTGCAGCGCTCTTTTTATTTTAATTTCAGACTATTCGTGAGGAAATATTGATTATATAATTGGGCGGGCTGCCGCAGCTACAGTGGTGTTTAACCCAGACCCAGAGTTTTTATTTTGAGGCTAGTGCAAGCAAGACTCACATTAAAAAACAAAATACCAGAAGACTTCATCACCTCTATCATCACTTAAAAAGTTTGAATATAGCCAACTTTGACACTGAGCTAATTTGGAACATAATGACTGTTTTATCCTCTGTATAAAATACAGATACAGAAATACAGTATTAAGTAAGCCAGAGTCTGACTAAAATGTGGCAACTTTACAAATCTTTTTTTAAATGCAGCTACAAAATCTAATTAATAGTTTTGAGTAGTGTCTTACAAATCTATCAGTTAATGATTTAATGTTTCTGGAGTGTATCTCTTGCTTTGGCCTTAGTGTTATTTTCTCTTCTCTGAATGTAGATTGCAGTTTAAATTGTAAAATAGACATGGACTAGTAAATTCCTGTATCCTGTATTAAATTCCTGTAGTAAGTACTGTAATAGATTTAACTACCACATCTTACTACAGATAAGTTGTAGAAATTACACTGTAGCAAAAGAAATATAAGGCAAAATATTTTGGCTGAAAATCATTTCTATTGGGCTCATTTGAAATTTACTGTGCATGTGTTTATGTTTGAATGTGATTCATTTTTTGTCTGAGTGTCAGTGGATGACACCATTTTGCATTTAGTTTTCTGTTCTCCAAAAGGGAATGAGCATAATGAAAACCACAAAGAGCTTTGGCCTGGATGTAGTTTTCTGTTTTATCCCAGCAGCCTACAGCAGCTCACTGGCAATAAGATGTGATAGGTTGAACGTCTTGATTCCTTAACTGCATAGTGAAACAAGTTGCTGATTCATCTCTTTTAACTAATCAAAGTTGCTTAGCTAATCTGTTTTCTTTCAACAAATCCACTTTCCCTCAGCTTAATCCATTTGTCCTAGTTAGCCAGCCAGTCTGTTAGCTAACCTGTTTCCCCTTTCCTTTTTTAATTTATCTTTCCTCCATCTGCCTGCAGCTTGCAAGCGGAAGGAGCAGGAGCAGAGCAAGCTTGAGCGTAACCAGGGCCCAAAGCGCACCAGGCTGGTGTTCACGGACCTGCAGCGGCGCACGCTCCTGGCCATCTTCAGGGAGAACCACCGCCCGACCAAAGAGCTGCAGATCACCATATCCCAGCAGCTGGGCCTGGAGCTCTCCACTGTCAGTAATTTCTTCATGAATGCCCGCCGACGCAACGTCAACAAGTGGGCAGATGAGGGCCGTCCCTCCTCCACGGGTTCCTCAGGCTCCAGCGTTTCCTCCTCTGCAGTGTCCTGCAGCACCGCATGATGACGGACCGCCAAGGAGGTGTGGTGGGAAGGGCACTGAGGGAGCAAGGGGGCACATAGACTGGTCTAGGCAGAGATCGGCCGTAATAAATGTCCTCCTCGTTATCAGAAGGAGCGATGGAGCCAGCTATTATAGATGATTTAATGAAGATGAAGCATTTTCCCAAACCAAAGTTGACCGCTCCCTTGAAGTAGAAGGGGGCGATACCCAGAGTGATATGATCGCAGGATGTGAGGTCCGGCTTGTATAGTCAAGGGTGCAAAGATATTTTGACTCAAAGAAGAGTCACACCCTTACATAGACACCATTTCATTGCTTTATTTTGATTATCTAGATTAGAGATAATGAGGGTATTACAAATCAGGAGAAAGCATATTTTGGTGTACCTTCAAATTTATAGTCATCTCTCCAAATGTGAAAAATCAAGAGGTGCCGTTTGCTCACATCTGGAGAGCTCCATTGTGTAACTTCTTAATCAAGTGTTCACCATCATCCAAAGACGTTAATCCTCCCCCAGTGTTCTCATAGTCCTGTTTTTCCTCAAGAATCAAGGTGAAAGAGGAAGAAAAGGCATTTTTTAACTTCTCATTTTTTTCTGAAGAACCAAATTTCCTTTCTGAGCATGTGTTTCCATGGTGATGGTTCCCAGGACTGTATGGCGTTGCTCCAAGTTTGGAGCCTGGAATTATCAGGAGGTTTTTGTAGCGTCCTCGACTCCCAGCTGTCAATCATTTACCATCAACAGGAGCCTTTCCTATGTTTTGTGAAGATGGTCCCGCCTTGAGTGAATCAGAGTTTTCAAGGGGGAACCACAGTGCATCTCACCATACGCCAGGACAGAATCAATAAATACAAGTACGACGCAGAAACAGACTTGTTGGTACAACTGTCTAGCTTTAAGACTCTCACCGACTTTCCAAATGAAAGCTCCACAGCCATTTTTGACTCAAAATCAAGCCAAAAAAAATTAAAAAATTAAAAACAAACCTTTGAACAAAGGCTCTATGGGGAAGAGATACACCTGACACAATGTATAGTGACATTGTAGTATTTTTTTCCACTCATTACCAAACAACTGTACACACCTCTACTCCATTACGAAATCTTTTTTTTACAGATGTCTAGAAAATGGAGGAATGTGATTCTTTCAGCCCTTTTTGTACAGATTTCAAGCACATCGCTCTATTTATAGAAACACGTTGGAAGTGCGGGGCAGTTTGTTTCAGCCCTGCTGACGTACAAGGTCATTTTTTGGTCCACAAAGGAAAGGCTTTAACATGCCTCCTTATAGCCAATAGTTAAATCAGACTAAGAACGTTTCAAATGCAATTGCTGATCTGATCAATGTATTTATTACTGCATTTGTGTATTTATTGTTTTCCCTTTTTCTTTCCTCTCTCTATTTATTTGGTTATTTATTTATGCTATCTATATACTGTAAGTATTTATTTAACAATGCTCTGTATGTCTGTGTGAAACTGAAGACTTTTTCTGATGGGCACTTTTAGCTGTAGAATCCCATCGTAATACCAAAGATAAACATTGCCTCCCTGAATGTACGGCCTGAATCCCTAGACCCAGTACCCTATCCCAACCCGACCTACCCAGTGATGTTACGTATCTCTCTCTATCTTTAAGGCCTGGCCTTTGTTTTTGTTTTTTGTAGAATAATGGGGATTTCTTTACTCTTGCAAATGTCTCTGCGGTCAGCTCTTAATGCCAAGGCCAAATCTTGTTTGAGTGTTGTGATAATATTTAAAATTAATAATACTATGAATAGTAACACTACTGATAACAATAATGATAATGATAATGACGATTATGATGTGGCATCCGGGCATCCCATAGGTTCACAGGTTGCTTGTGAAGTTACGTTCAGGCCAATGCCATCTGGCAGAGTGTGTAAAGTGTCCCGGGACCCACTTCAAGCATCGTCTGAAGGAACCATTGAGTGCTAGTCCTTCAGGGTCACATGCAAACATGTGTGTTGTGTGTCTGCCTGGGGAAATGCATGGTTGTGACCCCCCCAACCCTCCCATCTCCCTCACCTGCCCAGCTCCCAAATGCAGTGCAGACACTCCTATTTATGTCCTCTCTCTGTCCTCCACATGCCAAGCATTTCTGCCAGTTGTCTCAGTTCCAAGTGGATTCCTGGTCTTCTGGAGTTGTGAAGGTGTGTTTCTCATCTTCTGGGGATCTTGGGTTTATGTACCCGGGTTTCTGAAGGTCTTAGGGATTGTTCTGGCCTTTTAGGGTCTTCTGTCTGGGGTTCTTTTGATTTGATCCTCATATTCTAGGAATCTCTGATTCGAATGCAAGGCCTCTTGGGCTTGTAAGAGTTTGTTCCTCATCTTGTAGGAATCTTTGATTTTGTTGCAAGGCTTCTGGGGCTCGTAGGGTTTGTCACTGGCCCTGTAGAGTTTGTTCCAGCTACGCTAGGATTCTTAGGGTTCCTCCAGCAATTTCCACAGGCATTGATTTGCCAGCGTTTTGCATTGTGGATGGCTAAATCAGGAGAAACTCAACCAAGATCTGATTCTCTGACCCCTGTGTAAATGCTGCCAAAGAGTGGCGAGACTAGCTTGGCTGTTTTCCGCCCTCCTTCTTCTCTCTCTCTCTCTCTCTCTCTCTATGGGTTTTTTTTCTCTCTCTTTCTCTGTCTTTAACGTATGAAGGGGCGGATTGCCAGGGCCCCCTTCACAGCGTGCACTTGAAAGACGGGCGGTCATGAAAGAGGCCATCGACTTTTTTGCGGACTTCAAAGGGGAGTTTTTTTTCATCCCATCTCCTCTCTGGGTATCTGGTCTGGGGTCCGCTCTTGGCCAGACCTGTGGGCTTTAGGGGGCATTCAAAGGGGGCGGGGGGGGGATCAGAGAGAAGGCTGAATCATCCAGAATGAGGATGGTGGTAGTGGTGTGTGTGTGTAGGAAAGGTGGGAGGGGGTTGTTTGAGGAATAGGAGGTGTGTTCGAGTAGTGGGGCATGGAGCTGAATTAAACTTTAATGAGCAACAATTGTAAGCATGCTGAGAGCGAAGGGTGGTGGTGGTGGGGGTGTGCAGTTGAGTCTGCTCAGGGGGGAAAAATAAGAAATAAAAGAGCTCAGAGGCTCCTCTGCTGACCCTTGCTCTCTACTGTCATTGTATCAAAGCTGAGGTGACACCTTTCAGGTTTCTCTTTGTCTCTCTGACTGGGAGCCTAAAATGGAGACAGAGCTTTTTGTATTGAGCCACCTTCTGCTCCTGTCAAGCAGGGAAGCTCTTCCCTTCCTGTACAGAGGGGAGGCGGGAGAGAGGGAGGAGTGAATCCAGTTGGCTGCTGTAGGTGATCTGTATTGCCATCTTAGCCTGCGGCACCCCCTAGTGGCTTTTCTAGGAACTTTACCCTGAAAAGAGTCTGGCAGCCAAAGCTGTTGCAGAGAAATTGTGAGGGGAGAAGAAATAACTGAAAGCTAATATATACTTTCAGAATAAAAAATAAAAAAACACTACAAAAAATACATTTTTTTTGATAATGTTTAAACCAAAAAACAACCAAAGATTGATGGGTAACTGCTGAATCATTATGTATCATGGGTATTTTTAGCAGTTCCTTATCAGAGCTACCGTAGCACTCAGAGGATTCAAAAAAGCACCAGTGGGGTTCCGCGTGCTGATTATTTATGTTGTATAGAACAGTATTATGTTGAGCTGGAACTGAGAAACTGACATGAGGCAGTGTCTTCAGATGGAAGTCTTTTGACTCTGTAAACCCCAGTGTCCCCCTATCCGTCCCGCCCTCTCCCGTGTCTACATGAAGACTTTACCCATCTACCTCAACTGTGTGAGATGTTGTGTGGCAAAGATATTCCTTAACCAAAGAATCCATCCTGTCAGGGTGTCTGTCTATACATCTATCTATCTTGTCCATCCATCCGTCTCTTCTTCATGCCTTTACTCTAAACCAAATGTGCTGGAAACAATCCACAACAGGAGCCGAACAAGGCCCCCGGCCAGCCAAAGCTTAAGTCAGTATGCTAGAGTGTCCCATTGATCCATTTTCTGTATATAAATAAAATCATTCTCAAGACCAAAAAAGAAGGAGGTGACAATCCAGGCAAGGAGGATCTTGCTGTAATCAACGTTGCCTATTCCTTGTTTTCCGAAATCTAGAATCATGTGACTTGCTGTAACAGAAAAGCCCAAAAATCAAGCGCTCATCCAAAAATAAAAAAGGTCGGAGGAGACAGAAGCTATTTTTCCACATTTGTAAGCCACCCCTCCCACCCCTGTTTTTTCCAACATGTTTAGTGTAGTTGAAATACTGTTCGATCCCACTGTTGTAAGTAGGAATTAATTAAATCCATACAAAAAGCTTTAAACGGGGAAGAGCTGAGGGAAATATTATATTTGACTGAGTCTGAGTTTCCTCAGCTTTGACTCGACCCACCATGCTTTATCGTGCCATTCTTGTCCATGTGTTAGACTTACTAATGAATGTGGCTAACCAACCAAAGGCTTTAAAAAAAAAGATACACAACACTTTAAACGTCAATCATGGTGGGACATTTTGTATCAACAACTAAAGAAAATCCCTTTGAATACCTCATGTGAAAATTGTTTGTTGTGATGTTGCACTAAAAAAATAAAAATGACTCATTTGTAACCCAACACTGTTCTCTGTTGACTTTATTCTGACCTTGTTGGAAGTGTTAGCGTTAAAGCTCTCTGGGGTTTTAAAGGCCAATACATTCTGAAAATGCTGTTATCCAATACATTGCAGTCTTAAACTGCACTATTAAACTGGGTTATATTCATCTAACACAACAGCAAAAAATCACCCTCATTGTATTTCCCTAAGAGTTGACCATAAGTAGCTTTACTTTTTCCATGACAAATATACAGAATATATTTACTATCTGCTTCCTTACAATCCATATTAAAACCCTGGACACGTTTTTCCTTTTCTAAACATTAAATGCAAACATTTAGATCCCCTGTTCAAAGTTTTATACACATTTCCGCTGAATTCTTAAAAGATTAAACTAATTCAATGTTTTAGTCTTTCCAGGTTGAAGATCCTTTAACATATTAGAAACTCAATATATTGTATTTTTATTTTTATTCTCTTGGTGGGATGAACACCATTTTCCATAAGATATTCCCTCATTTATATATACAACCTTTATTTGATCAGGTAACCTCACTGAGCTCAAGATCAAGAGAAACCTCAGTAAAGCAGATAGAAAGAAAAAAAAACAGCCAGACATAATATAACACATAGCGTCAGAGACAGCCACGGAGATCACTAAATAGATCTGAAATCTATTATTATTATATATAATTTGACCACAGCATTTTATTCACATCATTTTCATACTCAAACCATTCAGTTTGACATTTAGGGAAATACACTTTACCCATTTTCGTTTTATTGCTAAGAAAGTCTGTATGCCAAATATGAAGTTGCAGCCATCGGCCACTACGCTTAACTTACCATAAAGACTGGAAGACAAAACAGCTAACCTGTCTTTTTCCAAAGGTAAAGGTAAATAAAAATCTGCCTGCCAAGAAATAGTCACATAATGTGTTTGTAAAACCACAACTTGTCGATTTTACAGTGCAGTTTTCACACAGATACAGAAACAAACAACATGTTAATTAGGTTTAGATGTGCTGGTAGGTGAATTTCTTTGCACTTTTTACATTTACATTTTGATCGGACCTCGCCCCCTGCTTCCAGTCTTAATGCTGAGCTTAGCAAACTAGCTGCTTGCTGGAGCTAAATATTTAACAGACAGATATATGAAAGTGCTATCTATCTAGCATATTTCCCTAAATGTTGAACTATTCCCCTAAAGGACTCGATTGACTCTATTTTGGAAAGGAAGCTCAATTGTTGATGAGAGGGTGAGGAAAAAATACAAACAAACTAAAAGGTATTTCTTCTTACTGTAGACATTGTTACTTGCCTGTAGGCAGTTAGTGTAGGACGTGCTACCACATCAGCATGTGCACAGGACAGAGATATTTACCAGAGACACAGGTATTGATTTTGGCGTTCCTTCTGTCGTAACATGTAAAAGCCAAATTGACCAACAAGCCAATTTCCCAAAGAGTCAATTGAATCCTTTCAGGCGGTTTTCATGGCAGATTTAACAGACTGACGAACCTGAAAGTGGTGGTGTAAAATCAGATCTTCACCCTCATCGCATGTACGGCACAGAATCCGATACAGTATTTACTGAAAGGTGAACATTG